AATCTAGCCTATTCAGATACCTTAATGGAAATGGGACATGGTGACCATGGACTTTGTGATTGGGTTACCAATGAATAGACAGAGACACGATATAGTTTGGGCAGTAGTAGACCGTTTAACTAAGTCAATCATTTCCTTCCAATTCAAATAGACTATACCTTAGAGAGGCTAGCTAAACTTTACATCCATGAGATATTGAGGTTGCATGTAGTACGAACTTCGATCATATCTGATAGAGACCCATGTTAACTTTTCGATTTTGAAAAGCACTTCATGAATATTTAGGCACTAAACTACATTTTAGCATTGCTTTCCATTCTCAGATAGATGACCAGTCAGAACGTGTAATACAGGTCTTAGAGGATATGCTTAGGTGCACCGTTTGTGTAGCTGGGAGGATAACCTGCCATTAATGGAATATGTGTATAATAACAGTTTTTAATTGAGCATCCATATGACTCCATATGAGGCCTTGTATGGGTGTAAGTGTAGAAGTACTCTTTGTTGGATAGAGTTCAATAATGGTAAGATAGTGGGTCTGACTTGATTAGAGAAACCGAGGAGAAATTCAGTTAACTCAAGGCCGCTAGAGGGAGGCCACAGATAAACAAAGATTGCATGTAGATTTAAATCTCAAGAATATAGAGTTCGTAGTGGGGGAAAAGTATTCCTCAAGGTTTCCCCATGGAAGAAAGTGAAACAAGGGAAAATTGACCTCGTGCTTTATAGGACCTTACAAAGTACTAGAGAAAGTTGGACCAGTGGCTGACTGGTTAGGTTACCACTAGAGCTGGAACACATCCATAACGTGTTTCATGTATCCAAACTTAGGAGATACCGTTTTGACCCTTCCCATTTCATACTCGTAGAAAAGATTGAGGTGAGCCCAGACATGACCTACGAGGAAGAGCCAATTCGGGTCTTGAAAAGAGATGTAAAAGAGTTTAGGAACAAAAAGATCCCTATAGAAATGTTCTATGGAGGAACTATGGCGTTGAGGAGGCAACTTGGGAAACCGAGGAGGATATTAAACTTTAGTACCCTCACATTTTCTACCCATGTAAAATTGAGGAGGAATTCATTTAAGAGGGGAGAGTTTTAACTCTCTAAATCAATGGTTAGGAGTTTCAGGCTAACTCAAGAAGGCCTTAGATATATCCCTTGGCTTGTAGGAAACCTTGACCCAAGTTTGAGTGGATTTGGGCTTGGATTAAGTCTAAAAAGAGTTAAAAAGGGGATTTTTTTAATTGAAACCCAAATTTGAAAGACCAAGGAAGTAGTTTACCCATTTTGTTTAGAGGTTGGTCACATATTGATTCATGTTTTTCCTCTCCATCTACTTTGTCATATGCTTATTTCATCTTTCTCTCATTTTCCTCCCACTGGAAATCATCAAAGGTGAGAACTTTGAAGTGTTAAAAGCCTTGGTTGTTTTAAAAGATGTAAGAGTTGAAATCTCTACACCTTTAGCTTTCTTTTAAGCCCTCAACATCATGTTTTGACCATGGATTCCATAAGTGGGGTTAGAGCGGGTTTAGGAAACCCAAGTGTTATAGCCTTTTTTTGGTGGATTTAAGACTTAAAAGTTGTTCATAATCTCTTCCTAAACACCTAAGCAAGTTAGTAATTGATTCTTTGATCTTTGTTTAGTTAGAGACATGAGAGAAAGCTCCAAGAACAAAATGAAAGAAAAATTGACTCTTGGTTGAGCTTTGAGCATTTCCAGCAACTTGGTTGTTCAGGTAACACACTTGTAACTCAAATCTACCACATGTAGATCACTAGGTGTGTTAGGTAGCTTCTATGAGATAAGAAGCATAAAAGCACATTCATGGTAGAATTTAATATTTTTTTAACATGTTTATAGACATATTATGACCCCTCGTAATATACATAAAACTTTAATAACTATTGGGAACATCAATAGGGCTTTCGGGTGAAATGGGGAGTCATTTTCATGCCCAAACAGGGCAGTTCTTGATTAAAGTAACGATATTGGAAGAACAATACCGATACTATTTGTTAGATGGTTTAAAATATGGAAGTTTTGGCATAAAAGTATTGATACTGATTCATTAGATATCAATATTATTGGTTGGGTATTGATACTCGTAGGAAGAGTATTGATACTGAGTTCACTTAGAAAATTGAAATAGTCAATTGTGGCATCGATACTCAATGGAGTATAGATTGTGAGGGTAGAGTATCGTACTCCTAGTAGTGGTATCAATACTGGGTTATTATTGCATGTGAGAGTGTACTAAATTTGATACACAAATTGTGCAATTATACACATCGAACAAGTAATAATGTGATAGTGAGTATCGTCTCTATAGGGATTGGAGGGAAATTAAAGTAAAGTTTAAGCGCCTAAAACATAAACAAATAAATATAAAATGGTATGAACAATTGTCGAAAATGCTGTGGAAAAGTTGAGAAAGGTGAAATGTTGTAGAAAAAAATAAAATAAGAAATGCTCTAGAAAAACTATGTGATGAGAAATGGTGCACAAGATAAGATAACGGTCCGACCTCACATGTGTGAAACCCTTAATAAGGCTAAAAAAATAGGTTTATCTTAGAATCATATGTCTTACCCTAAATGACTATTAATGATTTCCAATTAATACAATACTCGACAAGGTGTTCTAAGTTATTTATAAGCTATCTATAGTAAGAAACCTGACAGTGAAAATGTTAAGGCAATACCTTTTAGCGTGAACCCTAGAAAATACTACAGAATATGTTATACTCTTTTTAGTCATTGAAACTCTATCCTTATATCTAAGGTGAGTTAGATTTTTGCTACCAGCTGCACTTTAATGTTCACATAGATCTAAGCTTAACATTATCGATATCAAGCATCAAATATAGATAAAGGCTAACTCTCAAAAGATCTTATAAATCTAGGCGATTAAAACAATGAACAAAGTATGAATATAAACTGGAAATGTTGTAACATTAATTAAAACAAATAAACCGAAGCCAACCTAAGTTAGTTCATTGCTGGAGAAAAATATTCAATATCATTCATTCAATACAACCCATTTCAAGATAAAAATAGAAGAAATAATAAGCAACAAAGGAGGAGGAAGACTCCCAATGAAAAAAATGCTACGGATTATTGTGAACCACCTCAAGAGTTTTTTCTTCTCTCAAAGGCCAGCAAGCTTTATCCCATTGATTCTTTAGCAATAGAGGTCACCATGACGAAGAAGAGTAGAAGAAAGAGTGGTTGCCTCTAACTTTTCTCTTTCTTATCTCACACTTTCCATTCTACCATAATGTGGTGTCATTTTCTTATATAGTGGGGGCTCTTAGGGTTTTGTGCCCTACAAGTGTCATATATGGGCTACTACTAATAATATATTCTTTGTTTGTCTTCTAGTAGGTCCAGAAATGCGGTTCCTTTGTTGCAACTTAATCGTCCTCTCCAGGCAGTTCACCTTAAGTAAGTTGCACATCACCACGTCGAAACAAAACCTTCTCAAGCAGCACCAATTTCACAATTTCATGAAAAAAGACCAACAAAATCCATCATATGAAAATTAATGAGGTATATGCAACTAGATGCAACTAAATGGGCTTAAGAACACTAGAAAACTCAATAAAAAGGCATTAAATATACCCTTTTTGCACGGTTAACACACCTCAAACTCAAGCTATTGATTGTCCTCAAGCAATGAGTAGTGATCAACAGGAGATATGCTACATCATAGTTTAATCTAAGAACATGTGTACACTAATGATCAACTAGAAGGTTGTCAAGGAACATGTGTACACTAATGATATCCTATCAGTGGATGGCGAAGATGGAGCTTTTGAGGTGCTTTTGGGTAAAACGACCTTATTTCCTCCAAATGTTTTGTTGGAACATGATGTCCCTGTCTACAAGGCTGTACAGAATCCTGGAGAGTTTGTAATTACCTTTCCGAGAGCTTATCATGCGGGCTTCAGTCATGGTACGGCCTATTTACTTGAGCTGTTCTTTCTCTGTGCTCTTACAGAATTAAAGAATATATTTCTTATTGTAATCTTTTAGGTTTCAATTGTGGTGAGGCTGTGAATTTTGCTATTGGAGATTGGTTTCCTTTGGGCGCTGTGGCAAGCTTGCGTTATGCACATCTCAACAGGGTGCCTCTCCTTCCTCACGAGGAACTTTTGTGCAAAGAAGCTATGCTTCTCAATAGAAGTTTAGAACTGGAAGATTTGAATTTTCCGCCAGCAGACTTGACTTCTCATCATTGTATTAAGGTTTCATTTGTAAAGCTGATACGTTTCTTGCACAGGGCCCGTTGGTCAATCATGAAAGCTAGGGCATGTACCAGTGTGTCTCCAAATTATTATCAAACTATTGTATGCACTTTATGCAAACGTGACTGTTACATTGCTTTTGTTAACTGCAGTTGTAACTCTCATCCTGTTTGCCTGCGACATGGTAACCTTTCTCTGATACTGCTATTTTTGGTAATTTCCCTTAGTTATGAAATTTCGTCTTATGATGAACTCCATTAAAATTTTGCAGATATTAAGTCACTTGACTTACCATGTGGGAACTATCATGGCCTTTTCTTGAGGGATGATGTCAGAGAGATGGAAGCTACTGCCAAGAAGTTTGAGGAAGACAACCCCATATCAGAAGCGGTTGATCGACAAGCTGAAAATGGTGATGACATGTATTCCTATCCACTATCAAATAAGTTCCAGAATGTAGAGGATGGATACTTTCCATACTGTGAGATAAATGTTGTTTTGAATCTGGAGGTTGCTACAATAACTTCAACTACGGGTCAACCAGTAGATTATGGACATCCTTCAATGAGCCATGAGACTGGAAATTTTCGACCTGAACCGACAGATGCTTTCTCTTCTTTTTCCGCATCGACTTTATGTTCTTTTGTGGAAAGTGTCGGATCCTCGCCAAGAAATGTAAGATCCACATACTACCTGCTGAGTATTTTAGGGTTATGGTGCCACATTTAGTATTGCTATGTTTATGACTGCTGGTCCCATGCTCAGTGAAACATTGTTATTTTAAATTCCAAAGCAGGTACAGGAGTTAGCTAACCTAAGAAACACTAATGATATAAGGTTCTCTGAAGAAGTCTCAGAAAATACATATGAATCATCTGTATCTTGTTTGTCACGTGAAGCTCGTCCAGGTATCCCATCAGTATAATGGTCATGAAGAGAGTAGGTCTATAGTCGCCAATGACAGTGATAGTTCTGATTCAGAGATATTAGGGTTAAACGGCTTCTTTTTTGAAGGTGAGAAAAGAAATGGGAATCAGGCCATGTCATCTAAGAGCTCTGAACACCAGGTATAATTATAACATTCCAAAGTTAATCTCATATGTTTATGATAAAATGGCCAATTTAACTCTCAGGGTGCCTTTGATCTGATTAGTTACATAATGTTCCACTATTAGTTATCTTTGATCTGATTATTGTGTTATCATTAAGCATTTTGCAGCAGTATCTTGCCTTGTTCACTTTTCAGTCCTTTCATTTCTTTAGAAGCCTTAGTAGTTTTTTTCTCCCTTTTGTTCATTTTAAAGGGGCTCAAGCGATTAAAGAAACTCCAACATGAAGGAAGGTGTCGGCAATCAGTGCCATCTGAATGCTGTAGAAATGATGAACGGAATCACAACATTAGTCGCACTTCTGATTATAAAGAAGCTCGAAGAGGCCACCTTCCCATTTCTATCAAGTATAGGAAGTCGGGAAATGACGAGGCAATGATTCGGCAGCAAGAGCAGCACCGAAATGACAGATTAAAACACGAGCTAGGAAAGTGCACGAGGGAACCTCCTCCATTAGAGATGGGTCCAATTCCGAAACGCATTAAAGTGAGGGGGCCAAATATATGTAAGTTCAGAAAGGAGACTGGATTGAAGTGAAGATTATAGATAGTAGATGGATGTGTAGAAAGTGATGGAGCCTGACTTTGCTAACTTCATCCACTCTAACCTAATGGAGTTCTAAGTTCTAACAATTCCGAAAGTTGATTGATATTGGTCAGGGAGTAGCAGGCGAAGATTTTAGGACAAAAAAATTATATTCTTTGTGCAAATTGCACTAGCAGTGGATTGATTGATGGTGGGTTCTCAGGCGGGGGTGTTTTTCCTGTGGAGAGCCGTCGTGTAAAAGTTTAAAATTTAGAATTTGGGGTCAATGGCTTTTGTTTCTGTTGGTATATTGTTATATTCATTGAATGTATATGCATTGCCAACGCAATCTGTTCCGTCTTGTAAAATTACGTAATCTGCTCTGGAAATGGTATGTTATGGTAGTTGCGGTAAGGGTAGACCGTCCATTTGACGAAGTTTAGGGATTATTAGGGTTGTAACATGGCCGATATTTTCAGATATCATTTCTGTTCACCATCCTATGGTTTCCATTGCATGTTGATAATCCTCTGTATTTCTATTCTATGATATGCACACAAACCTTTCAATTTTGAACTCATCCCATAGAATTGTTTCTTCAAAAAAGAAAAAAAAAACTCCATAGAATTGAATTTAGATTCTATTGAAATTTATTAAATAATAATTAATAAAATCATTTGTTTAACCTGAATTCAAATAGATCCGGCTCAATATTTTGAATAAACTGAATCTAAAGTTACTACAATTGAGATGATTTGAACATGTAGCGATGCTATCCGCAAAAATTGAGCCTCATCTAGAACAAATTTAACCTCAAATTTAGGACACTCTAATCCTGAATAGTATTTTTTTAAAAATAATTATGGTGCTAACTTTTTATCCAAAATATATTTTTTTATAATAATTTAGTCATAATTGCTGGCATTACAAATACATGTGCAAGAGATATTATGAGACTGAGTCATACTAGATGTTATAAAAAGATTTAAATATCCAATAATTTGAAAAAACATATTTATAACTTTAAGAACATGATTTATAAGCTGCATGTTTTTTTGGTTGAAAATAATCTGGATATTTCATTTATCAAAAGTCGTATCAACAAACGTCTTGTCAATTACAGACTGAACAAATACAGTCAAGACCATCGAAAATAAAATATAACAATGATCGCTTAGTGATAGCCTGATAAACAAAACCATTAACAAGTGGATCAACAATGTACATAAACTGAACATACCAATGACTTCGAGCATCAAAACGTGGAGGAGAGAAACTTGAAGAAGAATCAAAATTGCTAATGGAAAAAGTGATCTCCCATTAACAACAATCCCATTCGACACATATATGCAATAACCAACGAATCGACTTGTACAACGAACAGAGAAACCAGGCATTAGGATAGCAACCAAACATGTATTAAGTGAAAAACATAAGAACAATAAAAAGCTGCGTGTTAAATAAAGCATTGAAGATTTACATGATTATTGGAAAGGAATGTGGTACATGAATTTGCATATTGCATCTTCCTATGTAAGTAATGTGGTAGATAAAACTTATCATGCATGTAACATTTCAAATTCGATCATTCACAAATGAGTCTAAGATGTCACATCAGATTGTCGAAACAATCACCACATTTAAAAAATATTTTTTATTTAAATTTCAAATCACAATAGGGATTAGATAAAATACAATATCTATAATAATTATAAAATATTTTATATAAAACTGAAGTTCCCTGACAATATATTTTAAATCAAAATAATATAGCACCCATAAAATTCACAGACCAACTACAAAAATAAGGGTCTTATGAATACACATGTCCACTAAAATAATAATAGTCTATTTTGAAGATCAAATGTTGGGTTTTACCAAAATGATGCTTTGCAAACAAGCTCAATAGTATATCGCTAATCTAATGTACACATAATGATTTTGATAAACATAAATGTGCTAGTGAAATAAATAATAGGTACATGTATAATTCATAAATTCAAGCGTTACATGATTTTCATAAAAATAAATATGCTAGTGAAATAAATAATAAATAATAGGAACATGTATAATTCATAAATTCAAGCGCTACATGCTTAAGTTTAACAACTTTCTTGAGCAACAATAATGGTTTTATGCTTTCCCTAGTTCGTGACTAAGGGTCTACCCATGAACATTTTGATCTATATTCATAATAATATATATCTCACGCATCATTACTTACATAACACAATTGTACCGCTTGATGTCATAATACTAGTCATGTACCAACTGAAACAGGAAAGTCTGATATCATATATATTTTGGTACAATTTTCATCAATCGCAACTAATGATTTCTCTGTCTCTTCATAGCCACCGGATATAGATCATATAGAGGAATTCAATCTCACATATGCCTTAGTAAGATTCTCGCTCAAAATATATAGAACTGGCTTGATGTAACCATAACAATCATCATCACATAGTCACAACATGTATATGTTCTCATATGTTACACACATCAATCATTGCCTTATAAGACTAATAAGATAATTACTCGCATAATTTATTCTCTCACCTAATCAAGTGAGGTCATATCCTCTCTTTGTACTATATAATTCATTTTCTCACCTAAAATGTCATACAAGAGTAATTTTTATTTTTTAAGTATTTTGTAACACACAGAATTAAGCACCATTACTGCCCATGTGGTACATTATTCAATTAGCACTATAATCAACTTCATAAATGATTTACAAATCATTAGTTTACCACTCTCCTTCAATACTAGTAACTTTAAAGGTATTTGTTTTTGTAGATTCTTACACATTAAGAGTATTTTGTTCATTTACAATATTTTTAAAAATCATTTCATGAATTAGATTGTTTTCCAAATTTGTTTCTACATTTCATAACAATTCATAGACACTTGAGATGAAACAAGAGATCTTTTTAATCTTTCGAAATCAAAGAGGTTAGAGTTTGAATTAAAATCAAAATGGCACAAATTATTTAATTTATAAATTTGAAAAAGTAAGAAACCTAGTTTGATTAGAAGCATAAAATTTAATTTTTTTCTTTAGGTAGAAAATCTAATTTGAGTAGATTTTTACCTTATAAGTTTCCTTTGTAATCAAATGTCTATCTATATAAATAGATACTAAGAATTAAGGTTAGAGATCAAGTTGCCCATGAGGACTCATCTTGTATTCTTCTTTTCTCGACATTAGTGAATTTTCTTCTCTTTTCCTTGTGGTTTTTTTCCAAAAGGAATTTTCATGTAAAATCTTGGTGTCTATTTTATTGAGAAATCATTCTGCATGTCGTTATCTTCTAATAAATTGGTATCACAACATTCAGACTATTTAACACGATCACGATAATGACATCTTTGAAGTATAAAATTTTGTTATCAAGTCACAACGCCATATTCATATTTTGGAAGACATATGTAAATTTGTAAGATCTATCTTATTCTAATGAAAGAGTAGAAAAATAGTACCAAATTTTATATTCTACAAGGTTCAACAATTACAGAAGATAAAGTATTATTTTTTTCCTTCGTGGCAAAAGAAGATTCTCCGTTAAACAAAATAACAGTGTACATGACATTTTTTTAGAGTAGAAAAGTATTTTATTCGGTGCGCATAATAGTTTTGAGAAGAAAAAGAGAGCTCAATTTATGGGTATAACAATTCAAGAAGAAAATTAAGTTTTGTGAGCATAATGAAAAAGATAGAATTACTAGTCATGATCGAGATTGTGTTGTGCATGATATTACTTGTAATGAACAAGTTGTGAGCAAAGTTAGCACTTATGATTCCTTACAGATGTGAATACAAAATCCAAGTTTAGGCAAACTTTGGATTCAGTTGGAAATCATTATTGAAGAATATTCCTTTAAGGGGTTTCGTGGAAGAACTGAAGAATATGTTCTCAAGGTGGAGACCTTGTTCATTAAAGTAAAAAATTGTTTTTATTGAGTTTCGATGTCTCATCAAATTTGAGTGTCTTATCTCGAAACCTGCCCACTTTCAGAATTCACGTTAAGGTGAAAATTTGTTAGAGTTTGACTCGAATTCAAAGTGGTATAAATTAATTAATAGATAAAATTGGAAAAGTAAGAAACCTAGTTTGATTAGAAGTAAAAACTTTATCTTTTTTCTTTATGTAGAAAACTTACTTTTTGTAGATGTCTACTTTATAAGTTTCCATTGTATTAAGTATTTTTCCATATAAATATATACCAAGGATTAGGGTTAAT